GCCTTGTACTCAGTCTAAAAGCCTTCCAGACTGCCAAAACAAAAGGGTTGTACAGTGCTTGCAGGAACATCGAATTGTCAGGGCCTCATGTAATTCTTTTCTGCGACGAGTCCTTGCTGCATTGACCTGTGAGTGTTTCTTTTGCAGAGCACCGCTCAGATTCATGGAGATGTGAAGCCACAGAATGTGCTGCTCACCCTCGCAGAGGAGCTTGGGCCAATCGTTCTCGGTCTGGTGCACTACAGGGCACAAGAATCAAGAACACAGTTCATAGCTCTTCATATCTCTTCAATGCTTCCCTCTTCGGCAGGGGCGCTTGCTTGCACAACTCACTGACTTCGGACTCGCCCAAGAACTACCGCCTGGTCAACCTTATCTTAAGCCATGGGCTGAGACTGGGGCAACAGGAATTCGACGACTATGTTGGAGCCCATCGCTATTAGGTAGGAGGCCATCGCTATTAAGTTGGGGGCCAGCGCTATTAGGTTGGAGGCCATCGCTATTAGGTTGGAGGCCATCGCTATTAGGTTGGAGGCCATCCTATTTGGTTGGAGGCCATCGCTATGAGGTTGGAGGCCATCGCTTCTAGGTTGGAGGCCATCGCTATTCGGTTGGAGGCCATCGCTATTCGGTTGGAGGCTATTGCTATTTGGTTGGAGACCCATGGCTATTAGGTTGGAGGCCATCGCTTCTAGGTCAGAGGCAATCGCTATTAGGTTGGAGGCCATGGCTATTAGGAAAGAGAAGAAAGAAACAACACATCGTTTGGAAGCGATTAAGGATGGATGAAGTGCCGGGTTCCTACGGCTACATTGCATCAGAGGCATCACCCTTAGACTCTTAGACACATTTCTGTGGATGTTTGTGACATCAGCAGTACAATATGTGCATATATTTGTTTTTTTGTATATCATCTCCACAAAAATGAGTAGTTTTGGAGCTACTGTATCAGAATTGTCTAGCCATCAAGCCTCCTTCATGAGCCTTCATGTGTATGAAGGTAAAGCACCGGAGGCACATCAGCTTCGCCGCAGACTTGCCGTCTCCTTAGACAAGGAGGCTTGTAGGCGAGAGAACGGTAAAGTAAGGAAAGGCAAAGCTATACTGTATATGTGTTGGTCCTTTGGGTGACTTTTGTGTGTCACCAGCAGAATCAGATTAACATCCCATGTCTCAAGAATTCCGAGAATATAGTGGAGTCTCAGAATCCAATTGCAGTAGACTGCTCGGTCTGGCAAGACGATAGCGATTGATTGCGCAATTTTGGCGCACAGGTCAGCCTCGGCAAGCACAGTATATACAAAGGGAAGCTATATAATTGTGTGCAACGTACGACATTGCCGCTGATCTGCCTCCCTTGTCTCTATTTTTTGCCCAACACAAAACCCGATTTCGTCCATCAGAGCCTGCTGCTGATTTTTGTTTGTGCAGTTCATTTATCCACTCCTTCATTCTAGTATATCAATATTGGGCCAATTACTTTCTCTCACATTTTCTCAAGCCCCTCAAATATACTTCTGCTCATGCTGGCTCATTGTCAGTGCATTGCCAAACGCAGTTGCCTATTCAGGGAGATTCATTGAAATAGGTGGATTGGTGCAGCAAATTTCTTGGGAATCCCTCCCACAAACAAAATATCAATAAAATAGAGCCTTGTTGACCATCTGAGGAGGGTTATTGATCAATCCGATGTGTCCTTTGGGCAAGTTTCCCCAAAGGTCGTTAGTAGTGCAGGTCAGCTGGCCCGAATTACATAGTTGGGAGTCGGAGATTGTTAGGAATAGGATGATTTCATTAATTACTTGAATCTCACCCTTAAATCCTTGGATGCGCCGTGCTGTTTTTCCTCGTCCCCTCTCCTGTGGGCATAACGACCCACGTATTGCAATGTTATGTGCGCATAAAGCCCCGAAGCTTGTTGTTCTCCCTTCAGCCCCGTCTTTACTATCCAAAACCATAATGACTTCATTCAACTTCATTTAAAGGTGCCATCATGCTGGTGAGTCCGGCAGACAACCTGAGGTTTGCTCTCGGTGTGATCCTTTTCCGTCTACTTGGTAGCTCCTTTGCTGAATCCAAAGAAAAGCATCTCACCTGAAAGCATTTAGATTATACTTGCACATAATTGGACACTGAGGTTATGATCCTTTCCATCCAGCAGAGACCTGAGCTGAAGGATTTGGCCTTGAAGTTGCGGCAAAGCCTTGTGAGGCCTCTGACGTCGACTCTGAGCTCATTTTCGATGAAGAGTGCTGGGACCCTTTGTCCCCGCTTTCACAGGCTGGGTTGGTGAAGCAAGCATTTGACCTTGTGGAAGCTTATTGTTTCTAATAGCTTCTTGTTACTACTAGTTAAGGCACTTGTTACTAGAAGCGATGTACTTGTTACTAGTAGCTTATTGTTTCTAATAGCTTTCCATGATCATCCGATCCATGGATGCTTTGTTACCTTGTTTGAGCGGCAATGGTTCCTACCAAGGATACAGTCACCCGCTTGTTGAGCCCCAACCCCGCTACACGCGGGTTTGCAACGAAACTATTGAAGGGCGTGGCTCGCAGTTGCTACTTTCCACATGCAGTAGGAGGAAACGCAGAATTCACCAGAGCAACCTTTGTAATAAATATTTATTGTTTGTACCTACATGGCATTAGGTGATCCTTGGTTCAACGCTGATGAGAGCCAATTGGCCAAGATCTCAGAACAGCAAAAGGCAATCGAGGGCAACTGCGCGCATATTTACTGCTTGGATTTATTTTGAGGGTTTGCTCAAAACAGTTCGAGCTTTGCTGTTAATCAGGAGGGCAGTGCTGAAGCCGATTGTCAACATGAATCATATGAAAGTATATTATAGTTATAGCTGGAAAGGTCTCCCTGGAGATTCACACTGAGACCCCCATTGAGTGATGATCAGCAAGTAGTAGCAATGGCTTCCAACCTAAGAGCGATGGCCTCCAATCTAAGAGCGATGACCGATGGCCTCCAACCAAAGAGCGATGGCCTCCAACCTATCCAACCTAAGAGCGATGGCCTCCAACCTACTAGCGATGGCCTCCAACTACTAATTTTTAATATGAAAGATTATGAACGTATGTAGCTGGAAAGGTCTCCCTCAGCTTGCGATAGTCTAGAGCTTTCAACACTGTTCTGCAGCTCCTCATAAGCTTTCCGTTTGAAGCTTGAAGATTCCTGCGCTCGTTCTCCCTTCTTTGTGTCTACTGGGTCTTTCCTTTCGGTTGGGTTCTTCTTTTTGCTTCAATAGTTACCATACTTGCTTTCCCAATTCTGCCTACTCCCAGACTCCCAGTTGTCACGTTTTGATAGGCAAGTTTGCACCAGGCTTCAAAGTAGTCCAGTGGCCAGCGAGTTTGAAGCTGGCAGCTAGCGCAGAACAGCTGGGAAATGCTGGGAACCCGCTTTGCGTATCTTTGTGTTTGCTTTCAGTGCCCCCTTGCAATTATCTTTCGCAAATAAAACCTTTGACCCTTTCGCATTGTCAAAGTAAGCAGCAACAGAGTACTGGATGTAGCCAAAGCCAGGTTGGGAAGGCACGCACAGGCTTTGCCCCGACACCAGTGCAGCAGCTTGGCTCGTTGTATTCCTTTCCGACCTGAAAAGCTGAGTCAGTAATTTGCGGTTTCATATTTGCATGTATTTGCCAATTATGTACTTATGTTCGTTGCCTATTTGACGCACTGGGCAACAATGTTAGCACCCTTTGTTTGCACAAGGAACGTCGACTTCCATACCCTAGAGGCGCAGACCAAATTACATCATTGTCATTGTCAACAAAGAGAATTTGAATGCCCTTGCCAATCTTGCAAGCACAAGTGTCGCCGCAGGACTCGGCAACTGTTTGGAAAGTTCTGCAACCCGTGAGGCTTAAGACGAACTTGATTCACACAACTCAAACTTGAGAAAGTGAGAGCAGTGACAAAGCAGGAATTGATGAAGCTACTAGGGGCTCCTGGCATCGCTACTAGGAGCAAGGATGCTACTAGGGGCTCCTGGCCTTGCTACCAGGAGCAAGGTTCGCTACTAGGAGCTTTGCCGTCGTGACGAACAGTGTTGCCGTGTTGCCGTGCTGCACTTCATTGTGGCGCCTGCCAGGTGAGTTGTTGATAGGGAACCGTTGCACATTAGGTTTATTTAAAACCACCAGAGGTGGCATTGCACCTCATTAAAGCGTCCTTTGAACGAGCAAAAAGGGCCGCATGGTTTCAATATGTTTCACTAGTAAACCAGCCACATGCAATGTGACTTTGCTGCTTTTGCTTCGTATCAGAGCCAGGGCTGACTTTGCTCTTCGCAGACAATGCTGGTGCTTTAGCACCCTGAGCACAACTTGTCCATAGAACAGCCGACGAGTTTCAACAGTCTGGCTGATGTATGATTCGTTGTGCAGATACGTGTTAATCTTCGATGCAAGATTAGACCTCCTATGAGGATGTAGGCGCTGTGTTTTTCCATTTCAGCCACCAGTGCCCGGGATAGAGGTCCCGTACACAGGTGCTGGGTGCGTTCCCATCAGTTCATCACTGGTGGCTTGCAAGGAACTTACGTAGCAATGCTTGTCCAAGCCAGAGATTAGACGATAGATACATTTGGGATTGGCCATGGGGTCTCCACAAACAGCCAATTCCTGGTCCTGGTGGTGAAGCCTTGTGAAGCAGATCCAGATGAATGGAATGTTGGATGAAGCAGCCAAATCGGCTCTCAATATCCTCAGGAGCCTGCTTTCGTTAGCTGCTGTAGAGCCTACTTTGAGGGTAGGGAATTGCGCCCAGCCAGGCTCAGGATATGCAAACCCTTCACAAAACGTCACTGCCCAGGCAAAACAAGGAGAAGTTGTCGCCTACTAGCGATGGCCTCCACCTAAATAAATAATGGCCATGGCCTCTAACCTAAGAGCCATGGCCTCCAAACAAGGAGAAGTTGTCACAAAGTTCTTTGGTCCCACGGCGAAAGTCAAAGGCTTGGGGCAGCGGGAGGGTTTGTGTCAGGTGCACAGCTTTGCATCCAGCTTCAATTTGTCGGCCTCATCAACAACGTTCTTAGCTTGGCCTGAATTGTGTGATCCAATGATCTCTCCATAGTAAGCAAATGTTCAAAGTATCGCGACAGCTTGGCGTCGTTTGGAGGTCGGACGTGCCAGATCCAGCATCGTTGCAATCAGATTCGCAGGAGGACACCGTTGACTGCAGTCACTGCAAGCCTGTATATATGTGGTGATGTTACGATTAAACAAGGCCAACTCTGTGTTTAGAATGAAATTCTGTGTGTAGTGTCATGGTTTGTGTATGTGTTTGTTGCAGGCAGCAATATCACATTGTGCAAAGCCTCTAATAAAGAGTGCCGCATGAATCAGGCGTGCCAGATAAATACAGTAGCGACAGGCACCCCGCCAACAAAAAATCATTGTTATATAATAACTTATACGTATAGTCATTGGCTCAATTGAATTGACATGATTTTCCGAAGCTTAGGATTACGAAGGGCTTCGCTTGTTGAAAGACCAGCAAGTGTGAATAAAGTGTCATTGTGTGATGTCACGTGATGTTGCGTGTGCCTTTGAAGTTGTCGCATGCTTTGTGCGATGAGCAGTTTTCATGAAGATAGTTTGGGACACTTCCTGCCATTCTGGTACTGGCCTAGATTGGTTCGCCAACCGCTGACCCCTGAGAGGGGTCGAAGAGCCGGGGTCGGGAGGCGTGGGCAAGAGCGGCCGTGTGTGCTGGCCCAAGGTGGTCCAAGTTCCAAGTGTTTGCATCACAGGGATGCACAGGCAATGAATTGTAAAGGGTATAGTCAGCAGACGCGACATTCCATGGGACCTTGGCACGCTTGTCGCACCGCACACACTCGTCGCACCGGACTTAGCCGAACTCTTGACTCTTGACTCTGGACCCTTCGAAGATCACCCTCCTGGACCCCCCATGCACGCCCCGCGCGCGCGCCTCTGTAAACCATGTCTCCTTTTTGTGGAGGGGCCATGGAGGCTTCCGCCTTCCCACAACATGGCCATGCCTGAATCCAAAGGAGAGGGGAGAGTTGAACCCGAGGCCAAACCTGGGCAACGCTTTTCCCGCAGAAAACATCTTGACGGTCAGCGACGAATCTAAATCGAAACATTTATTCCTTTATTACTTCCTGGACCTTCCAACTACCAAAAGTTTATGGTCTACCATGGTCTACCTTTTTTTTGTTTTGCGTTTGTTTTAATTGCAGATTTTTGGTGTGGCCGTTTGCTGGTTTTTTGCATGTTTTTGTGCTAACTTGCGGTCGTTTTGTCGGTTGCGCTGCTTTGCGGCCGTTGTGCGCAAAACCGGGTCGATAACCAAAACATAGTTTTTTGTCATTGGAAGATCAAAGTTATCAGTTTTTGTGTGATGCATGCCGACCCGGCTCCGCTCACGCTCACGTTCATCGTCCTTCACATGCTTCGCTCGTGCCGCTGTAATCCGCTGTACATAGCGGACGTGTTCAGGCTTGCACGTTCACACAGTCAGTGCCAGAATGACCGGCCTCAGCAGAAACAAAGCACACCTGTTTCTTCCATCACAGCTTCGCACGCCCTGTTTCTTTTGTCGAATCAATGGTCGAGCCAGCGATCCCACTTGAGACTTTGAGGTTTTGACAGAATTGGAGTAGGGCATGCAGCTGACTTTCAAAGGTGGACTGGAAGAGTTTATGTAAGTAAGTACAAAATAACTTGGATGGCTTTGTACAAAACGGGAACCTATGTCATACAGACCACATCAGACCACAATTCGTCAGCATTGCTACCCACAAAGGGCACCGAGCAAAGGAGGGAAGGATGACGTTGCAGAAGATTCTTAATTAACGCTCCAAACACAAAGGTTGACACCTTCGTTCCGTCCCACCAGCATAACACACAACACAGAAGGACGGAGAACAGCTGTGAAAAGAAACAGCAAGGTGTTCCAGCCGAAAGACGTGCAAATACTCACGAAATGCAAGGCCTCCATACGCCTCCAAATGTGCACTACCGAAGAGACGAACCACATTCAAATCACTTCAAATCAGTACATGTGAATTTATGTTGGCTGCCTGGCACTTCCTGGCCCATGTCATGTCGTCGTTTGCTGGCAATGTGGGCCTCACAGAAAACGAGCCGCTTGGCAAAGTTCAGCAGTTGCATCTTTATTATTGGAGATGCTAATTTCCTGCGAGGCTACAAACCAGTAGACCCTGTCTGGAGGGTCATTGGCCGATTCAGAAACCAACCGATCAGGCAACTACGATTCAGAAACCAAAACAGCCGATTCAGAAACCAAAACAGTCCGATTCAGAAACCAAATGGTCCGATTCAGGAACC